TCCAGGGCAGGCTCCTGGAGCCTGGCACATAGGAGCGCACACATGGATGTGTCATCACCGCCTCAGAATGAACATCCCCAAACTGTCCCACAATACTCTGTTTTCTCTTCAGATCATATAAATCTTCCGCCTTTTACCAGACCCTCCCCACCAATCTCACATCCTAATGTGGCCCTTTTCTACAGTTTCAGTCTGTGTGGTATCTTTGGTTTCCTTTTGCTCTATACGTTTTAATGATACTTCTACCACAATTTCCCACACATTAGCATTTGTTCATTGCCACATTCCCCTCTTTATTCCTCAGCTCAAACTAGATTTCATCCAAAGGATCCTGCCTGACTCCCTGACCTGGCAGCTCCTGGTCTGAGCCACCCTGCACACAGCCTCCAGGTCTGTGGCTCTAAGTGGTGCCCTGACATGCAGGGCCGAAGGCCTGCTCTGCTCTCCCCAGCCCTCCCTATCCTCCTCCCATCCTCTGCTCCTTCCCTCTGCCTCCCCTAGAAGCTCTCCTTACCACCCCCTACACCAGAGTTTTCTCAGCTAAACCTTCTGTTATGGGTTCAATTGTGTCCCTTCCCTCCCTATTCATATCTTTTATATCTTAACCCCCAGATGTAACCTTATTTGGGTTGTTGCACATGTCATTAGTTAAGATGAGGTCACATTGGAGTATGATGGGTCTCAGACAATAAGACTGTGTCCTTGTAACAAGGGGAAATCTGGAGGCAGACATGCACCCCGGTGAGTGCCGTGTAGAGGAACTTGGGAGAGTAGGAACAGCCACAAGCCAAGGTGACAGGCCCGGGACAGCGTCTTTCCTCACAGCTCACAAGCCAAGGTGATGGGCCTGGGACAGAGTCTTTCCTTATAGCCACAAGTCAAGGTGAAGGGCCAGGCCAGTCTTCCCTCACAGCTCTCAGGAGGAGACAACCCTGCAGATCACTTCATTATGCACGTTTAGCCTCCGGAACTTTGAGACAGTAAATACGTTGTCAATCCACCCACACTGAGGGCCTGTGCTAGCAGCCCACCAAAGCAATATACCTCCCGTACCAGTTTCCTTTGGTTCTCAATTTCCTTCTCATCCACATGCCCGGTTTGGTTCAGGCGGCTCTGCCAAGGCTGTTTGCCTGCTGCCTGGTGCCATTCTCTGTGTCGGGAGCACACTGATTCCCAAGAAGATTCTCGGCCTCCAGGGCTGGCCCTTTGTCCTTCTGCTCATTCCTGATAGTGCCTGGTACTTTGTGGGCCTATGGAACAGACTGCATTTACTGCAGAGAGTGATTCCTCACTCTTTGTCTGCATATTAGAGTTTTCCTAAACCCATCATGGTCAGATAAGAGACCGCAGGCTCTAGGGTACCAGGAAGGACACTGGCCAATAGCCCTGGGGAGCTCCTGTTGACCTGCGGGAGCACATGGAGGGACAGTGTGAGGCCTGGGAGGAATGACAGGGAGAGAACTCCCAGTCCCACTGAGGGTAGAAGGACTGTCCTGTCACAGAGTACAGGGGACAGAGCTGGCACTTGAGCAGGATCCCCTGACTCCCAGCCCAGAGCTGTGGACAAGGGCTGCCTGCCCTGTGGGAAGTGGGAAGGGGCTGGCAATGGGCACATGGAGGGGTCCTGTCGCTCTAGGGCAGGTCAACACACTCCAGGCCTAGTAATTTACAGGAGTATCAGCACAATTGACATGAAGGCAGAGGCCACAAAACCAGGGGGTGGGGCAGAGGCAAGGGGCTCTGCAGAGAGTTGGCACCACACAGTGATGGCACGCCACAGTGATGGCCACTCTGTGTGCAGACGGCAGTGTTCTGCACAGCCTGGGCAGACTCCTGTCACCACCCAGGGTTAGCAGTGGCCTGATGGGCACAGCTGTGTGCCTGTGTGCCGATGCCAACCTTACCACCACTGTGTCTTCCACTGAAATGGTTTCTGGCACAACTAATAGGAAACCCAGAGCCCCAGGTAAAAGCCCAAGCCCTTCCAGAATGAAGCACAGAAAGAAACACATGTCAGAATTCATTATTCCACTGAAAGAAGGTTTTAAAAAATAATAATATATATATATATTCTTCCAAATGCAAGAGTATATTAAACACTGTAACCATGCAGCCCCCAGCCCTTCAAAATTATAGTCTAAAGAGGTCTTAATGGCTTGAGAAAATACTTACAGTATTATTTCATATGGAAAATTCAGGTTTAAAAATGGTACATGCAGTGTGAACCCCGCCGTGTAAAGAAATAAGCACGAGAGGGGAGCATGCCAGAATGTCCATGGAGCATGTTGGCAATTTCTAACCTATTCGATTTTCTTCTGTGCAATTCCAAATTTCTATGGTGAGCATGTATTATTTATAGAGCCTAAAGATAATTGTGTTTTTCAGTTAAAGACCCTAATTCTGTGTTTATAAGGAAATACAAGCTGTCAGGTGCAACCACATTCTCTGTGGCTTGGCAATGGTGATACCACTCTGCTCTCCAGAAATGACCTCTCCAGCAAAAAAGGGAATCCCATCCCAGCTCCGTCAATCCAACTACTCACATTCGGAATATTTCTGGAGCTGTTCAAATTCTTCTGGAGTGAGGGAAATCCACTGTTCTTTGCTCATCTTTAAACTGCGTGAGAGTGCCTGGAGGCTAGGAACCTCGTGGTATCACCAGGGTAAAGCTGGGGCCCAGCCCAGGGCCTGGCTCATTGCAGGTGTGTAACGGATAAGCAGTTCAGGAGACTCCCCGGAGCACTCGTCTATGGCAGCAGCGAGGACCTCTTAGCAGATGAGAAAAGACATCTGCTATTCCTCAGGCAGCATCCTCCTGTCTGCAGTCAAGGTAAATACAGAAGTCCTGGCTCTTCCTAGGTAGAAGCAGAAAAGACATCGTAAATGGCAATGTTAGAGTAAAACAAATCCCCAAATGTTTTTTTCTGAATGGGGATAATGTTTCAATTGTTTTCAAGTGAGGGATCTCCCCCAGGGAGGTCTGAGGAGCACATGGACAGGAAGGCAGCACCATCAGTTGCCTGGCAGTGGGTGGGATTTGAGCGGCAAATTGTGGCCTGTATGAATAGATGAGCCCCCCTGAACTCTGGGGAGTGTTACACATCTCACAGGAGAGGTGATATTAAGGCTAGGCTGCTGGACGCCTCATGGGTAATTACAGGGCCAGCAGCCTATGTGGGGTAATTTGAAAGGTGAGCCATTCTCCCTCCATTAATTTCCAAATTCCACCATTATAGCTGCTTACCTGCCTCTAGTGAGCCACTTTGGAAATTCAAATACTCCCAAGGCTGACTAACATCTAGTGACTGGATTGTATTGGAATACATGGAGCGCATTGGCGATTTCTAACCTACTCGATTTTCGTTCCCATCCTTCTGAGCCATGAAAGGGTTAGAGGGTGGTCTGTGCCTCAGTGAGGGAGAGGCAGGGGCACCTGTTCAGACAAACACTTAGCATCTTTCCCTTTGAGCCTCTTTTAGCTTGGAATATTTCATACCCTGGGTGGTTAAATCAGTTTTGTGAGTTGCAAAATTAATGTAATGGGTCAGGACCAGCATTTAAAAACATGAACTAAAATAAACTGTAATGGAGTTGAAAATTATCATTGGAGTGCATCTACCATAGCCAGGGTAAATATCATATCATGAGACTTTTCTTTCAGTTATGCACATATATGCATACTGACTGTAGTATACTGAATGCAGTATATATGTATACCGCATTTCTTATTCGGGGTAGAGGTTAAAAAATGGTTGGAAAGACATTAACCTAATAGCAGGAGAAATAAAGACCAGATGAAACACAGGCTCCAATGTTAGCAAAGCCACGATCTCAGTTTTAATAAAACAGAATCCCTACCCTGGGGACTGATGTAAGGCAAGTCTGGAGAGCCTGGAGCTCATGGGTAGTGCTGGGTAAGACCAGCCACTGGGAAGACATAAGTGGATAACCCTGTATAGACCAGGTGTGGATCTGGAGGACTGAACTGGAGCTGAGGGAAGACGCTGGAGGGAGAGAGACTCCAGCTCTGGAGGGAAGATCAAACCCATCAGAGCTCTCCCACAGTAGACGGGAATGCCTGGCAAGGGAGTGGGAGTGGGATGCCTGCACCCAGCAACAGTCAAACTCTGGTTTCTCTCCTTAGAAGCCCAACTCTCTTCTTCATCTCGCCAGCTAGGCAGCTTCTCTGCACCTGCTGCTGTCAAGGTCACTAGCTGCAAATACAACAGGCACGTCCAGTCCTTCTTTGCTTCATTTGCTCTGTCTGCAGCCTTTGACATGGCAGAAAACTCCCTCCTCCAAACTCTCTTATCATTCTGAGTGTTCCTCTTCGGTCTCCTTCAGCCTCTTCTGCTCTCTCTTCAGTCTGCGTCTTACCTGAGGGAGCCCACCCATTCCCACAGCTTCAGTGACCTCCAGACCTGCTGCTCCAGCCCTGAGCTCTCTCCTGTGTCTGAAGATCAGATATTCAGAACACTTAGCATCTTTTCTTTTCAGCTTCTTCTTTCTAGATATTCAGACGCTTAATTCAGCTCTGAATATTCAACTGTTTACTGTGTCTCCCCTGTGAGTCCCAAACCATCCCAGAACTATGACCAGCCACTCTTCCTCTGCATTCTGGTCATACCTGAGAGGACCAATACCCAGACCAAATGCCAGAGGCTCAGATGAGCTCCTCTCCCTTCCTCCCCTGCCAAACCCAGGCAGCAATCCTGGCCTTTGTCCTTTGTTCCTCCTCTTCATCATGCCAGCCCTTCTACTAACTCAGAGCCTGTTGTCTCTCGCCTGTTATTCAACTGCAGCCTCCCACTGGTCCCCTGCCTTGGCTTTCCTCTCTTTTCCCGGGTTTCTAAATTACCAACCAGATCACATCTCTCTCTGTAATAAACTGCTTCAGTGGTTTCTATTGCTTATAAAATAAAATGTAATCTTTTCATGATACACAAAGCTCTTTATGACCTGGCTCTTAATTATCAATTTAGTCCAAAAGTGAGAGGTGCCCTTTAGAAATATTTTTTGTCCTACCAGGGAATGCAACATTGCAACCGCTGTTACCATTGCCGCTGCTGTCATTTAACGGACACTTATTTTACACTGTGCTATTTCTAAATGCTTTACATACATTATCCAGCTTAGTCTCCGTCACAACTTGTAAATGAAGTACAGCTGTCTCTGTTGTGCGGATGGGGAAGGTGAGGCTGGGTGTTTAGTAAATAGGGTGAGGAGAAAAAAGGAGCCACGAATACTTTTGTTTTAAGAATGCCTCTATGTCCTGACCATCTGCATACTTTCAGAAGCACAGAGATCTAAGCGGACCCAGAGACATGCTGCATGATAAAACAACCCTGAACTCAAAATCAGAAGGCACGAACTTGAACCTGGGCTCTGCCCTTTTCTAGCTATTTTACCCTAGAAAAATTTTCCATTTCTTTCTTTCTCTTTTTTTGTTTTTTGCAGTTTTTGGCTGGGGCCGGGTTGGAACCCACCACCTCCAGCATATGGGGCCAGCGCCTTACTCCTTGAGCCACAGGTGCCACCTTATTTTCCATTTCTTGAACTTTGGTTCCTTTATCTAAAAAATGAAGATACTAATGAAAACGCTTCCTGGGTTGGTGTTAGGATTAAGTGAGTTAATGTATGCAAAAGCCAAATCTTCACCTACTATGCCCATCCCATAGTGAAAACTAAATAATTATTATCATCCTATTAGCAATATGGCTTAAAGAGCCAGCTGACAGGAATTGGTGAAAAGTCTCTAGTACTATGCCCAAGGTTTCTGAGCTTGATCTCATCCTGCTCCAGGTTACTGTAATTTTGTAATCACTAGTCAAACTTTTATCCACTAATTTTAATATGCACTGATTATTCCTGCCTGGATTAATTATTACCATGACAGCGATATTTTAATTTCATCATTCCTTCTACATTTATTAGTTGAGAGTCTATTGTTAGGAAAAGTTTTCCTTTCTTAATTTATTTATATCATTATATGTTGCAAATACTGCCCTAGTCTAAATAAATACAAAATATAAGAACGCTGTGATTGGGTAAATGAGGTGAAGGCTATGTTGATTAGTAGAATGTAACCAATTTGTACAAATAATCAACACATTGAATCCCATAATGGCATAAATGTATTATGTACAAATGACTTAATAAAAAAAAGCTTAAAAAATTATAAATATACCAAATAAATTGACACAATTATAAATATTTATATGAATTAATATAAAAGTGTATTAGATTTACATATAATACATATTTACTTATATTCATGGATGCTTATTTTATTTACTGGGTTATAATCTGTTGCCATCTTTGACTTTCGAATTGTCCTAGGTTTGATCAGGGGAAGCTCATTTAAGGTGGTTTTTTGTCTTGTAGACATATCCCCATCGTTCTTTGAACATGTCCTTATTTTCTGGCACTGTGAAATGTTTCAGGCTCATCTCATGCTTCCTCAGCTTGAGTTATCCAAGAAGCCCTGATTCCTTTTAGTGGAGAAAGTTTGAAGCCAAAGGTTCGGAGGTTATGTGTGCGTGCTCACTTGCAACTGGAGTGTCATTGCTTTTAGACCCTCTCAGGGACAGAGCTAGAAACTCCGGGCATGCATGCACACGTGCACACACACACTTTATCTGGTTGTCAGTCTATGTTAAAAAACTCCATGTCCCCACTCATATCTCTAACTTCAGTCTATTACTTTAATACCAACTGTAGCCTTTCCCTAGAGATATATTTTAAAATTTCTTCTCTAACAAATTTTGTTTCCATTATTTGTAATATCCTTTTGGCTCAATACACAGAAGGTAGTTTCAAAATTGCCAGTCCACACCTCCGTGAAAAAACAAAACAGAGTTCAAGACTTGTTTACAGGGCTCCTGCTTTCACCAACATCGGATCCTCAAAATAGTTACTTAGCTTAGTTCTTGCCTGCTCCCGTTTGTGTCTTTCCTTTTAGGGGATCTCCCTCAACTGGAAATTCTCTCTGACTCTTTTTCTTATGGTTCTAGAAATCAGAACTATGTAGGAAGGTAACCTCGAAGGAACATCGCTTCCCCTGTTCCTTTGACTCTGCTCCCGCGCCTCTCTCCAGTTGATTCACACCCACCCCTCCAGTGTCTAGTTTATCTTTTCTGGGTTTATTTTTGCACAAGTGAGAAAACACACGGAGAATATCTTATTTTCCCTCTACACAAATGGGAGCATATTATGGATTGTCATCTAAACATTGTGTTCACTTCAGAGCAAACCCTAGAATCACTCTGAACACTTTCAGAGAGATTGTCCTCAGTCAGGGCTGAATCACACTTACCTGCTTAAAACCCTTCTAAGGCCTCTCTTGGCCTCCAGGATAAAGAGCTGGCTCCTTAGCCAGTCGCAGAAGGTCCTTTACCTGTGATGACAGCTCCTCTCCACATTCTCACCCTGATTACCCACTGTCCTCCCCCCACACACACCACGTTTCTGCCAAATGGACCTTCTGGCTTCTCCTAGCACCAGCAAAGTGCCTGGCACCTGGTAGGAGCATGTTATTTTCTGGCACTGGGAAATCTTAGTTAATGGACTGGCAAATCCAGCATGCCTTTAGTCTACCTGGAACACCCCTCACTCCTTCCTTCCCACAACAAACCACTACTCATCTATCTGGTTACAGATAAAAAAAGTCGTATCTTCTCTCAACTTTTTCGAACTCCTTGAGCAAATGTATAAAAATCTACCCCTCTATTGTGGTAGCTGATGGTCCCTTGCAGGAGCCAGACACCCACACAGTAATTAATACTCAAGCAGATATGGGTCGTGGTACAGATATGCCCAGAGACTTACGGGCATCTAATATTCTGAAGCAGGCACG